TGTTTCTCTTGCTTTGGCCAATAGTTTTCTCTGTCTCTCTCTTTCTCCTTGAACACTAAAGCCCTCTTCTATATCCCCATCTTGACAGTTGACCCTTATCGGCATTGTGTGTTNAATTTTCTAATTTTCACCTAAAAACTTGTTCCACACTAGCACTTTACTCTGCAACACTGACTTTTTCTCTCCCTCGTGCAACTCTTAATGTTTCTCTTGCTTTGGCCAATAGTTTTCTCTGTCTCTTTCTTTCTCCTTGAACACTAAAGCCCTCTTCTATATCCCCATCTTGACAGCTGACCCTTATCGGCATTGTGNGGCCAATAGTTTTCTCTGTCTCTCTCTTTCTCCTTGAACACTAAAGCCCTCTTCTATATCCCCATCTTGACAGTTGACCCTTATCGGCATTGTGTGTTCAAATAGATGTTATTCTCTCTCTCTCTCTCTCTCTCTCTCTCTCTCTCTCTCTCTCTCATACAAGCAAGCCCATCCCTAAAGCTTTTGTATATAATCGGCAAAGCCTAAGAACAATTGTGTTTGATTTTTTCTAATTTTACGGTTTTTTTTGTATTAACTAGTCTTGCCAACAAAGACTTTGTTACTCATTTAACTTGATAGCCTCCAATATTCCATCCAAACTAATTTAGATNTCTCTCTCTCTCTCTCTCTCTCTCTCTCTCATACAAGCAAGCCCATCCCTAAAGCTTTTGTATATAATCGGCAAAGCCTAAGAACAATTGTGTTTGATTTTTTCTAATTTTACGGTTTTTTTGTATTACCCAGTCTTGCCAACAAAGGCTTTGTTACTCATTTAACTTGATAGCCTCCAATATTCCATCCAAACTAATTTAGATTTTTTTTGGAAATTTAGGATGTTATCAATCTAAAATAAATTATGGATTTCCTAATTTCAAGAGCAATGCTACATGTACTGTGACACCCCAAAATCCGAGTATCCGTAATTACCCCGTTAATAACTCATCAACTCGTAGAATACCTCTGGATACCGTGAAATTTGATATCATGCCGTTATACTCCATTTACCGGGATCCATAACTTAACAAAATTCGGGCAGAGTCTCCTTTGTACGAGGAGCTCTACCCAAAATGCAACCTATATAATATTGACCACATCGGGTCCATTCATCCATACTTAATTGTANAGAGTCTCCTTTGTACGAGGAGCTCTACCCAAAATGCAACCTATATAATATTGACCACATCGGGTCCATTCATCCATACTTAATTGTATAGTATCGGATACTATCATAATCATCATCATTACGTACATTCATTCATAAAGGAATAAATGTCTCAAAAAAGTCTCATATACATGTCTTTTTAATATAAAAGAAGTTTTNTACATCGGGTCCATTCATCCATACTTAATTGTATAGTATCGGATAATATCATAATCATCATCATTACATACATTCATTCATAAAAGAATAAATGTCTCAAAAAAGTCTCATATACATGTCTTTTTAATATAAAAGAAGTTTTTGTTTACAAAAATTATACAAGGCCAAAAGTAAACATATACAAGGGATTGCAAAGTCAAAATAAGAGTCACAGACCGACTTTGTCATCAAAGTGGGCCCATGGCGTCGCCTTCGGTAGATGCCTGCGCAATACCTGAAAAATGTTCTCATAAATAGTGAGTCAACGCTCAATAGGGTAACTCCTATAGAAAACACCTCTCAACCCAAATGCATATGAAATGTCAGATGCAACAATCATTTCATGCATTCATTCAAATATGTCTATTATGAACAAATGGCATAAATCATATCATGCTATGAGATGAGATTCATGCAAGCAATATCAACACTCAGCCCTATCCTGAGCTCTCACAACACATGCAATCTCATGCGTACGTATCCGGGCATTCCAAGCCCCCATCATTAGTGTTATGTACACTCAATGATTAATTAATTCATTTTCTTGTGTCTTTGTAGGGAGATAATTTATGGTATTACATCAATGGGACACCAACCATCAACAGATTTTTAGGACATCCCACCTGCGGCTCTGTTCTTGCCGTTACACTTTTCTGAAATTGCCCCGCCGGAAAGTATATAAACTAAGTAAGCATGTCTTGCACCCGAGAGAGAATCTAGTCTTTCTTGCAATCCCCGCCACGTTTATCCATTTAATTTTTCGTGCAACTCAGTCGTACCTTGGTGCGACTTTTTCGAGCCCACAATCAACCACCTATGTGGTGATTGATTTCATACCATGCACACACTGCTACCCATGTCAATGCCCATGAATGTAGTGCAACTCATGCATAATGTAATANCTTTTTGAGCCCACAATCAACCACCTATGTGGTGATTGATTTCATACCATCCACACACTGCTACCCATGTCAATGCCCATGAATGTAGTGCAACTCATGCATAATGTAATACAATGTGTAATTGTCTTTGGTACCATTTGCAATGTCCATTATATAATGAATGTAATATAATAACATTTTCAACACAATCTCAAACATGTTATGTAAGATAATTAACTCAACAACATACTTGTATTCACCTAGGCATTAAACAACACCTAGAGGGCACAATCAATTTACACAAGTAGCATATTTATTACTTCCAACATGGCAACATATTTATTAATTCTATAAACATAAGCATTAGTCCACCACACTAATCATATGTTAAATAATCATTTAACATACATATTATTTCATAATCACGTAACAAGCTAATAATTTTATTAAACTTGATATGTCATTAAAACCTCAAGTTATGCTAATATACAATTAACATACTTTTAACCCACTAACATTAACTTACACCAAGTTAATTACAATAGAATTTTACTAATTACAAAGTTAATTTTAAATCTTATATTTGACCCACTAGTTACACTAGTCAAGACCTAACATGTGATATATACCCTTAGCCTACACATTTCATATGTCATCTTTTAAATTGAAATTACATCTAAATAGGGGAACCCCAGCCTCTCGTAGCGTGAGCCCACGTACGAAAACTTCAAGGAAGCCCAAATTTAGCTTCCCAAGCCTTAGGCCTAGATTATCATCTTTGATATTTGTTTTGAGAAAAATACGATATTTGTTGTGTTTGTGTAGCTCTTGCTAAGTATAACAACTTTAATTCTTGGCCTGAAGCGATTAAACAGTCCAATCTTCATAGATCTAAGAATGAAATAAGGAGAGAAATAAAATAAAACTCACTTTTGTCTCTCACTCTCGGCTGCCTTACTGGAGAAGAAAAAAACAAAGTGGAAGACTTTGGGTGTGTTTGGTTAGCTTCTGCAAAACAGTTTTTTGTACTCNCCCAAGCCTTAGGCCTAGATTATCATCTTTGATATTTGTTTGGAGAAAAATACGATATTGTTGTATTTGTGTAGCTCTTGCTAAGTATAACAACTTTAATTCTTGGCCTGAAGCGATTAAACAGTCCAATCTTCATAGATCTAAGAATGAAATAAGGAGAGAAATAAAATAAAACTCACTTTTGTCTCTCACTCTCGGCTGCCTTACTGGAGAAGAAAAAAACAAAGTGGAAGACTTTGGGTGTGTTTGGTTAGCTTCTGCAANTGCGTGTTTGGTTAACTTCTGCAAAATAGTTTTTTCTTCTCAAAATTTCAAAAACACCCAAAACCTGTTTATTTGATATTTTGTTCTCTAAATTTTGGGGAAAAAAATGAAATTTGAGTCAAAGAAACAGAAAACAAGTGTAGCTTGTTTTCAGAGTTTTCTTTAAAAATTTTGAAAATAAGGANTGGGTTTTACATGTACTTAAAAACTAAACTCAAAAATTAGATTTGATAATTACAACTATTGATTTTTGGGTCCCAACATTTATTTACGACTCATTCTATTCAATAGTTGTGATTATCAAATCTAATTTTTGAGTTTATGTAACATTCCTTTATTTTCAATGTNGAAAATAAGGAAAATAATTTTGGATGTTCAGATATGTATGTATATATATTATGAAATTATCAATATAAAAATAATTTTTTTATATTTTTTTATTAATGTTTAAATTACTGTTCAAATATATATTTAGGCTGTCTAAACAAGTTTTATTATTTTTTATATTGTAAAATTATTTTTGAAATCATCTAACCAAATAAGTTTTTTATCTCAAAAAATATCAAAACCACTTTGTTAAAACTCTTCTCAAAAACTATTTTTAANGTGGGCCGTCCCCTGGAACACGTTAGCCGCATGCATTAGGTCGTCCCTTACGTAGAGCACAGAAAGGAAAGAGATATAAGAGATTGATTTATTTTGGAAAACGAANGTTAAAACTCTTCTCAAAAACTATTTTTAAATATTATTTTTTGAATGCAAACCAAACAGGCCCTAATTTCTCAAACAATAAAAAGAACTCAAAAAACATGAAAGGTACACNAAGTTTAAATATATTATTTATTAGGGTACAAAGGTTATTTTGACATATTATTTATTAATAACTCTGGATTTTGGCATTTCCATTTGAATCCAAAATCATAAGGCTTATTTGTGGGCTTTTTGAGGTACAGAGAGAGAACATGTAAATGAGTCAAATCACAGGTAGGTGGTATCTATTAATTTTCTCTTCTGCATCTTTAGCTTAATAGTGGCTGGAATGAAGGGGCATGGATTCCATTACAGCGGTCAAAGGGATTGATGAACACAACTTTTTCCACGCGGTTGTCTGCAATTTGACAAAAATGACGCGGAGGGTGTAGACTTTGGGTGTCAGATCGCTCCCACACTCGGTTTATTTTTTCAGATTCATTAAGTTTCTACAGCAGATGGCCTTATCGTTAGTATGAAACAGTTGACCCTTCCTCATAAACTGACTCTCTGTCATTAATTTATAAGTGATACATACTATGTGCATCTTTGACTTGATCTTTTGGTTTTTTTCTATTGCAATTTATTTGTAAAATCTGTAGGATGACTTCAAGCTCATAGAAATCTGTTTTCAGCAATTTAGTTCTTTCATCTTTGTGGCAATTGAATAAATGCTTCGAATGAGCAGTATGCACAGGACTTTGTTCTTCACTTATTTCATCATAGTGTGGTTGTCACCAATAAAGAGATTCAATATCAAACTCAGCTCGGCCGCAGAAGATGTCACCAATATCACATGCATTAATACAGAGAGGAAAGCACTTCTCACCATCAAACAAAGTCTCACAGATCCATCAGGCAGACTTTCTTCTTGGGTAGGCAACAATTGCTGCCAATGGAGTGGTGTTGGATGCAACATCACAACGGGGCACGTCATCAAGCTTGATTTTCGAAACCCTTTTCCATCCAGCAGCTATGGTATCATTTCCATGGCGGAAGGTAACACGACAGCTTATGATAGATCATGTTTGGGAGGTGAGATAAGCTCTTCTTTGCTCGACTTGAAACTTTTGGATTATCTCGATCTAAGCTTGAACAATTTTGAAGGAATTCAAATTCCTGACTTCATTGGTATGCTTAAGAACTTGCAATATCTGAATCTGTCTTTCTCATCCTTCGCGGGAGAGATCACACCTTACCTTGGAAATTTGTCCAGCCTGAATTATCTTGATCTCAACGCGGATTCACTGACCAATGCAGGCATGTGGACACTCCGGTCTACAAACGTCCATTGGCTTTCAGGACTCCACAATTTGAAATACCTTAACATGGGAGAGGTGAAGCTTGACCAAGTAGGAGCAGAATGGCTGCAAGCAGTCAATATGCTTCCTTCCCTTGTAGAGTTACACTTGCCTTTGTGTGATCTTTCTAGTCTTCCACTCTCTCTCCCATTCATCAACCTCACTTCCGTTTCAATTCTTGATCTCTCGGGAAATTCTTTTAACTCATCTGTACCCATCTGGCTGTTTAATCTCACAAGACTCGAAAAGCTTGATCTCAGCAGAAATTCTCTCAGTGGTGTCATACCCGGTGAAATTGAGTACCTAACGTCTCTACGAGTGCTTAATTTGGCTAGTAATGGTGATATTCAAGGTCAAATTCCAAGAACTTTGGGAACTCTTTGTAAGTTGAATATTTTAGACCTTTCGGGAAACAAATTCAGTGGCATTGAATTCTTGGATGGTTTTTCAAGTTGTTCAAACATTGGCTTAGTGTCACTAGATTTAAGTGGTAACCAATTGGCAGGGGAACTGCCAGATTCAATAGGAACACTTGAGAATTTGCAACACCTACTCCTCAGTTCCAACTCCTTTTCGGGTTCTATTCCATCGTCTATAGCCAGTCTGTCATCCTTGCTAGAATTGGACGTCTCTTTTAATGATATGAATGGTACGATTCCCGAAAGTTTTGGGCAACTCACAGCTCTCACTGATCTGTATCTTCAAGCGAATCCTTGGGAAGGCATCATAACAGAAGCTCAGTTAATGAATCTCACAAGCTTACAACATGTAATTGTGAGAACATACACAATCAAGGCATTGGTTTTTAATGTACCATATGAATGGGTTCCTCCTTTCAGGCTCAAGTCCCTTGAACTCGAAAACTGTCTAATAGGCCCCAGATTTCCTCATTGGCTTCGAGTTCAGAGTGAACTCACCTCTGTTACCCTAAAAAATGGTGGAATCGAAGACACCATACCCGAGGAATGGTTCTCTACAATATCGTCTCAACTCACCTACTTGGATCTATCTAACAACAACATTAAGGGGAAGCTGCCACTCAAGTTAGAATCTCCAAACATCAATGCTATTGACCTGAGCTATAATAGCTTTGAGGGTTCTCTCCCTCTTTGGTCCACCAATGTACCCCATTTCTATCTTCAGGCCTATTTGTTTTCAGGACCTATTCCCTCCAATATTGATGTACTAATGCCTAATTTGCAGTNTCTGAGCTACAATAGCTTTGAGGGTTCTCTCCCTCTTTGGTCCACCAATGTACCCCATTTCTATCTTCAGGCCAATTTGTTTTCAGGACCTATTCCCTCCAATATTGATGTACTAATGCCTAATTTGCAGTATCTGTACCTGTCCGATAATCGTCTCAATGGTACAATCCCTTCATCCATTTGTAGAATGCAGAGTTTGCNGTATCTGTACCTGTCCGATAATCGTCTCAATGGTACAATCCCTTCATCCATTTGTAGAATGCAGAGTTTGCAAGTACTTTCCATCCGGAACAATAGATTATCGGGAGAGCTCCCTCAGTGTTGGAATGAGTCACAACCCTTGTGGGTGGTGGATGTCGTGAACAATAATATATCTGGTAATATTCCTAGCTCAATGGGTCTCCTAAGTTCGTTAACTATATTGATGTTGAGTAACAATCGTCTAGAGGGAGAAATTCCAATTTCTTTACAGAATTGTTCATTGTCGAGCATTGATCTCGGAGAAAATGGACTATCTGGAAATCTACCCTTGTGGATAGGAGAAAATATTTCAGATTTTTGGATGCTACGCCTGAGATCTAACTTGCTGACTGGATCAATCCCTCCCCAATGGTGCAATCTTCCGATACTTCACATTCTAGATCTCGCAAACAACCATTTCTCGGGGACTATTCCGAGTTGTGTGGGAAATTTGACTTCATTGGTTTATGGTAACAGCACCATCACCTACAACAACTTCTTTCGATCCAAACAGTACTACTATATGGAGCAAACGGTTGTGGTGGCAAAGGGAAAAGAGCTTGAATATGGCAGAACTCTTGAATATGTCAATATCATTGATCTCTCCGGGAATAATCTGACAGGTGAAATCCCTCAAGAGATTACAGAACTCGCTGCATTGGGTACTTTAAATTTGTCGATGAATCATCTCACAGGAAGCATCCCAGGGAATATTGGAAACTTGCGTTGGCTTGAGACGCTAGATCTCTCGAACAACAATCTTTCTGGACCTATATCACAAAGCATTTCTTCTTTAACCTCATTGAGTCATTTGAATTTATCATACAATCACCTTGTGGGACGAATCCCAACAGGAAATCAGCTTCGAACCCTCGATGATCCATCCATTTATGAGGGTAATCCTTCACTGTGTGGTGTTCCTCTTCCAANACCTTGTGGGACGAATCCCAACAGGAAATCAGCTTCGAACCCTCGATGATCCATCCATTTATGAGGGTAATCCTTCACTGTGTGGTGTTCCTCTTCCAAGCAAGTGTCCCGGTGATGATAAGACATCTAATTTAGTACCTTCCAACAGAGGTCTAGAAAATCATACTGATGACAGTGATTCTGAATTGCTATGGTTCTATTTCTGCATCGGATCAGGATTTGTTGTCGGACTTTGTGGTGTTTGTTACACTTTGTGGTTGAAGGATTCATGGAGAAAAGCATATTTTCGTTTTGTAAACATCATTTAACGAGGTTGAATGTTGTCCCTCTTCAGAAAAAAAATATGCAATTAGAAAGAATATGAGGTCGCATGTACTTTGAGAAATTTGTATGTTACTCCTTTTATTACTTGTTACTGGCAACTACACGTTTTTTGTAGTTTTGGTATTATGTCATCAACTATCAACTTAGGTGGAAGGATTCCCTCCGTTTCATTTCTTTTATTTTTTCGAATTTGAACCAAAAAATTTCTCAACTGAATCAAAGCTCTATGACACTAATTTGCATGACTAATGAATGGCTGTGTAGATCATTCAAGAGTAGGATTGAGATAGTTCCTTTCCTTTTTCTCCTGGGTAATTCTTTGACAACATGGACATATGAATACGTCCAGTTATTAGAGAGATTGAACTAACAAACAAACAGACTGGCGTTGCTTTCTGCAAATTAAAAGAAATTTTGTGGTGCTAAACTTCGATCATATAGGATCATTTAACGGATACTTTCCCACGACACTAGAGTTCAGCCGAGACCCCCTCAAATATTTTTTTTATTTTTTCTATTTTTGGCAATACACCCACAATGTATATAATAACTCTCATTTGATTGCACAGAATGGGATCTACCAAACAAGTACGAAGTCAGGAAGTCTTCTCTCACGCTAGCGGGGTAGAGGTTTTCTCTTTGTCTGGCAGAGCTGTTTGTCTTCCTTAGGTCTCCCTAATGGAAGTTTCTTCTATTCTTTGATTCCTTTGTCTTCTATAGGGTTGGTTGGTAGTGTGGCCATCTCTTCTGTGCGTTTTGTCATTAACCTAGGAATATTGTCTTAGCCTTGTAGCCGGTTTGCGGTCTTTTTGTTTTGTTTATTTCTTGCTTGCAGGTCTTGAAGAGTTCCGCCTGATTCACTGCGTCTGGTTTTCTGGGGTGGGCTTTCTCTAAGGGGGTGTGGTCAGTTAGATGTTATCATGTCATCAGGGATGTCAGTGGACCGAAGTGGGTGCGGGATATAGTCTCCATCGCCATATCCGCTAAAAAAAATTTCGTCCATCCCCGGTCCACGCTCGTTAATGGGTATAATTTTTATCCTCATTCTCGTCTGCGGGTAAATTTTTAATCCCCACCCCCANGAAGTGGGTGCGGGATATAGTCTCCATCGCCATATCCGCTAAAAAAAATTTCGTCCATCCCCGGTCCACGCTCGTTAATGGGTATAATTTTTATCCTCATTCTCGTCTGCGGGTAAATTTTTAATCCTCGCTTTCCTCATACCCGCCCAAGCCCAAGCTTTTGACACTAGTCAGTTTTAATTAGTAAAATCCACAAACTTTTGGCACCAGTCAATCTTAATTAGTAATAATTTAAAACAGCAAGTTAACAAGCTCAAATCAAACTGGTGACAACAAGAAAACAGCCTAAATCCAAGCCCAAAATAAACTGTTGACAGCAAGAAAATAGCCCAAGGCAAGGCCCACGATCCAAAACAAAGCCTAGCATAACAACTAGCCCACAATTAGCAAACAAAAGTCTTTAGCAACACAACACAATAACCATCAGACTACAAGCAACAACGCAGAAACTAGCAAACTACAAGAGAAAGAATCAGCAAAATGGGATAGCAGTAACTCAGCACACCAAGAAAACTTATATGCCCGCAACCCAAAAGAAGTACTAACTACATAGTGACCAAAAACTAAAAGCAACTGACAAAGAGGCGGTCGGCTGTGAAGAGTGGGACACAGAGAAAGAGATGGATGGAGGCGGTCGACTGTGAAGAATGGGACATAGAGAGAGAGATGGATGGAGGCAGTTGGCTGTGAGGAGCTGCTGACTGCAGCAATCAGCGATAGGTGTTGGTGTCTATTTCACTATGTGTGTGTGAGAGAGAGAGAGAGAGATGGAGGCGACGACTGAAGGCTGATAGAGGAAGAAATGAGTANGGCAGTTGGCTGTGAGGAGCTGCTGACTGCAGCAATCAGCGATAGGTGTTGGTGTCTATTTCACTATGTGTGTGTGAGAGAGAGAGAGAGAGATGGAGGCGACGACTGAAGGCTTATAGAGGAAGAGATGAGTAAATTAGGGCTTTAAGCCTTTTAACTGGGACTGGAGTATATATATATATATATATATATATATATATATNTCAGCGATAGGTGTTGGTGTCTATTTCACTATGTGTGTGTGAGAGAGAGAGAGAGAGATGGAGGCGACGACTGAAGGCTGATAGAGGAAGAAATGAGTAAATTAGGGCTTTAAGCCTTTTAACTGGGACTCGAGTATATATATATATATATATATTTTTAACAGGTATAACAGGGACGGGCCGGGAGTACGGATAAGTCCATCCCTGTACAGATTTATGCGAGTATCTTTGTATACGTCCACCGTCTAATACATATAGTCTATCCCCAGTCCAAATGGAGCAAGTTTGGACGAATACCTANATATATTTTTAACAGGTATAACAGGGGCGGGCCGGGAGTACGGATAAGTCCATCCCTGTACAGATTTATGCGAGTATCTTTGTATACGTCCACCGTCTAATACATATAGTCTATCTCCAGTCCAAATGGGGCAAGTTTGGACGAATACCTATTTTTTTCCGGTCCACTACCATCCCTACATGTGATGAGCTCTAAACCAACTGGGCAAATCCAATTAATCAAGCAAGCCTAAATTAGTCAAAAGATAGCCCAAGCCCACTTAATCAGTTCGACCCAGTCTAAGATTCAAGGAGCCCAGAAAGATAAGAGCACGTAGGAGAAAGATTATCGGGATATGCACTCATGAAGATCAATTCTACCTTAATTGTACTTACCAAATAATTAGTGTTCTCTCACTCATGTCACCATCTCACCTTACCGCCCCACCAAACTTATATATTGCAAGCTCTTTCCACATGGAGAGAGATCTCACCACACTACTCTACATCTCCCCCACACACATAGCTTCTCTCTCCTAACTAGTGCACCTCTCCCGGAGCTCTCTCTTTGTAACTTTATTCATCAATAAAGACCTCCGGCCACCGCTGTAGTTTTTCAAGAGTGGAGTAGATCACCCGAAACCACTATATATCTGCGTGTTTGCTTGTGTTTATTGTTTTTCCATTTATTACTTTATTTATTGTTCATTAATTACATATCTTCACATACTCGATTGTTGATTTTGCACGAGACCAGTTTTATGCATCATTAGTTTGGCGCCATCTGTGGGAAACGACTAAGTTTTCTACTCACTTTTAATCCATACAATCATGACCAGATCGATGAGTCAACAACCGGGAGACAACAGCTCTGCCCACCGAGAGGAGGCTCCACCTCCCCTCACACCCTCCGAACCATCTGCTACGGCGACTCCCGTCGTCAAGCAACAGCTTTTATAGACCATGCAACTGCTGGTAAATCAAAACCAACAAATCATTCAATTGATACTCGCCTAGGGAGGCATCACCCCTCAACCCGTGGGAGGAGCCCCACTCCCTCCAACAGGAGAGGAGCAGGAACCTATCCACTCTAGGCACCAAGCAACCCTCCACCATGAGGTCCCTTGCCAGAATGTCTTAGGGCCACTCCCGAGCACCCCGAGCTAGGGAGTCCCTCCTCAACACGTAGGAAGCTCACATGTTCCCCCTCCTCATATACCTGAGTAGGAGGGTGAAGGAGAAAGCCAGTATGCTAATCATGAAAGCCATTACAACAACCCGATGGTGGATATCCTCAACCAATGGGACGAGAAGATCAGGGAGGTGCAAAACTAGCTCAATGATGCCCTCAATGCCATCAAAGCACAAGCGCCAGAGATAGTGGATTACTTGGTAAGGTGCACTAATACCCTGTTCATTGTAGATGTTGTCAATTATCCCCTACCCTCGAAGTTCAAGATGCCTGCCATCGAGATCTTCGACGGTACCAAGGACCCTCTGAATCACCTCGACACATATAAGTCTCTAATGTAACTCTACAACGTGCCTGATGAGATCATGTATAGAGTTTTCCCCACCACCTTAAAAGGGTCTCCTCAACAATAGTTCACGAAGATCAAACCCTCCTCTATCCACTCCTTCGTGAAACTGAGCAAGTCTTTCGTCTCCCACTTCATTGGGGGACGTTGACATTAGAAGGCGGTTACCCATCTGCTCACCATCAAGCAGGACATGAATGAAAGCCTTAGGAGCTACATCACTCACTNAAGCCAGTATGCTAATCATGAAAGCCATTACAACAACCCGATGGTGGATATCCTCAACCAATGGGACGAGAAGATCAGGGAGGTGCAAAACTAGCTCAATGATGCCCTCAATGCCATCAAAGCACAAGCGCCAGAGATAGTGAATTACTTGGTAAGGTGCACTAATACCCTGTTCATTGTAGATGTTGTCAATTATCCCCTACCCTCGAAGTTCAAGATGCCTGCCATCGAGATCTTCGACGGTACCAAGGACCCTCTGAATCACCTCGACACATATAAGTCTCTAATGTAACTCTACAACGTGCCTGATGAGATCATGTATAGAGTTTTCCCCACCACCTTAAAAGGGTCTCCTCAACAATAGTTCACGAAGATCAAACCCTCCTCTATCCACTCCTTCGTGAAACTGAGCAAGTCTTTCGTCTCCCACTTCATTGGGGGACGTTGACATTAGAAGGCGGTTACCCATCTGCTCACCATCAAGCAGGACATGAATGAAAGCCTTAGGAGCTACATCACTCACTTCAATGAGGAAGCTCTTTAGATCGAGGAGCCAAACGATAAGGTAGCCCTAGCTACCTTTATCGTAGGTCTGCACTCCTCTAGCTTTATGTTCTTCGTCCTTAAGAAGCCGCCCTCCAACATGCCAGAGCTGTTGTCAAGGGCCTAGAAGTACATGAATACCAAAGATGTCACCAAGGCCCGTCGAGGTGAGTCCTCCCGAGGAGGGGAAAAAAGAAAGGACACCTACGAAGACGAGTGGGAGGCGGAGAACAAGAGAAAGAGAATCGAAAAAGTCTCTGTCTAGGACTGTCTCGGTCCGTACCCCTCAAGAGAACGATAGCCTTTCACGCCACTGAACGCCTCGGTGGAGCTCATCCTATTCCAGATACAAGATGACCCCATGCTCTGCTAGCCCGAAAAAATAAAGTCCGCCTCAAATTGCAGAAATTTCAGCAGGTACTGTCGCTTCCACCGTGACCATGGCAAT